CCGAGGAGTAACATCGGTGGAGAGACTTCTTATGTTCTTACGACGTAATAAAGACTGGCTAAAGAGGGACAGATGCGCTCGCGCCGCCAGACGCGGCGATAAATTCTTCCAACAGCCGATTCTTCTCTCGATCGAACGCGAGTGCAAATACCTTGGACCGGTGATTTCAAAGAAATCAATTTCGTCGAGCGCGATGTCAAAACGCATTAGGATTAGCAAAAACGTTCTTCTCCTCGACAAACATACATCCTCCTTCGATACACCTTACCTCGTCGCACACCTTTCATCGTCCTCGTAAAGGAGAGAGAAAAAAAAAAATCCCCATGGAAAGAAAGACATCCGCTCGAAGAAATTACTTCTCCGTGTCGGCCCATCCGGTTGGTATTATTAATTAATAAACGTCCGCGTCTCTCCGCTCGCGGCGTCTGCGTCCAAGCCTCGACTACATCGTCTCGACGCGTACGCTCGACACGTCCGGACAGATGCTTGCTCGCAGGCGGTCTCTTTATTCGCGAGTCGCGTCCATCTGTTTCGAGAGCGTGGCCGGGTCTCCGAGACGCCAGGATGAAAAACGATGTCCGTTTCCCGATGAATTCCACCGTCCCCTTTGCATATCTATGCGTGCCGCGTACACGTTCGACGCCCGCCCGATTTCTAGGATAAACAAACGAGCGGACACCGTAAACGGAACCTACTTACTTACCAATTAATTCCAACGATAATCAGCAAGGATAAGGAATTTCTCGTCCGTGTTCGATATCTCGAAGCGACGGCGTCGCGTTCGTTACCGTTTCACGCACACATCTATCGATCCCTCTATCGATCCATCGCACGCACGCGTCGAGGGCGCATCGTCGCCTGGAGCGACGTCCGTGCAACGCCGATCGGCCCGTAGTAGTCGGTTGTCGCTTCCCAACTTCTCGTCGATCCGTCATTTTCGCCCTCGTTCTCGCCCTCTCTCCCTCTCTCACTCCCGGTGATGAACGCGAGAGGAGGAACGACAGAGAAGGAAGGGTTGAAAGAGGAGAATGGAGCGGAGGCAAGTCGAAGGAACACCTGTGCCAACTGGGGCGCAACCGGGCCACAGACGGATGGGCAAAACAGGTGGGCCGTCACGCCGGGATTCTTCGCTTCGTCCTCTCGTGGGCCCAAAGGCGCTCCTCTTTAATTCATCGATCTTCGGCCAGGCGCCACAATTTCTTTTCTCCTCTGCTACGTTCTCTGTCGTCATTTCTTTCGTTTTTTTTTTTTTTTTTTTTTTTTTGGAAATTATTTTCCTTACCAATTTCGAGACGAGGAAATCTTGATTATCGATGTTTCTCTTTTTCTCCTTTAGATATTTTTATGTTACGCGGAAGATTCAGCCTCGGTTTTTCTTCTTAACGTCGTAAGTTGAAGCAGAGTCGCGTTGTACGCGATAGAAATTGTTTCTCGAATCGTGTCGTAAACGAGAGGCGATGCGTTTCCACTTATCACGCGTGCAAAGTCTCTTACAGGAGATTAAAAACATCGGCGAACAGTTTAATAATATAATACGATATATCGGCGCGGCTCGAAGATGACTCGCCGTAGTATAATTAACCGATTGCTTTACTTTATATATCTGGTTTCTGCACTTTGCTTATCTCTGTTTAAGAGGCCCTAACGAGCGTGCTCGGGCAACTCGATTCCTCACCTTGAAAATCGAGACCAAACCTGTAGTCGATTCTCTCCTGCAGCCGGAGAGAATCGATTTTTCTCCCTGTATTTTAATTTCGTCCCTGACTTTTCCCAACCAATTTTAATTTTCGCGTGCACGATCCTCGTTATTTATGCAATTGTGCAGCTCGCATGCGGCGAATGGTAAACAGGGTAATCAGTTGCCGGAGAGAGAGAGAGAGAGAGAGAGAGAGGGAAAAAAGGCCGCAGGCGCGGTAAACGCGAATAAAAATTTAATCGGGTGAATTGCAACTTGCAACTAATGCGTGTCTAACCGAGCGCGTGCGCCACGTAACAGTAGCTCGTCCAAGGAACGAAACGTCCAAGGAAAAACGAGAAAAAACTCTCGATTAGAGCGGAGTTACTCGATAAATGTGTACGTATCTCTGTGCGTGTGCTACGTTAATTCATAGAATCGATAACCCACTTACTCTTTTCCTAGCCTCTCAATTTCTTACTTTTACCGCTCGGATCAATTTTCGAAAAAATTTCCCTATACATAACGTGGAGTAACGGAAACCAATAGTATAATTAGGAAGAAGCTATCCATTGAATTTCCGATCATGATCCGATCGCACGGCTTATGGCCGAGATAATCCCAGGAAACGACAACACGGTACGCCGTTCCCTCCAATTAATCCTTAAGCCGATCGACTTCCTTCTCATCGGTTAATTAACGAGGGCGCGTAGATCTTTCGTGCTAAATCTTCCGTCCTTCCGTTCCCTCTCGTCCGTTTTTTTTTTCTTTCTACAAACAATACCGCAACCCCCTCGCCCCGTCTCGAAGAAGAAGAGGAAAGACGAGGAGCGAGCGGTGCTCAAAGGGGGAGAACCGGTGCTCCCGATAAATCATAACATCGATGATGTATCTTCCGCGCGTCCAGAATCTCTCCACCTTCGTTTCCGGGCCGCGGGCGGGGAGGCGATATCACCTGCCGATTCGGCGGCCTACTGGTCTCGCACGCGGCACGCCGATCCTTGCGGTCGTCGGTCGGTAAGCGTCGAAACCGCGGCCAGATGTTCCACCTCGAGCAGGTACAGAGAGAGAGAGAGAGAGAGAGAGAGAGGAGGTGGCGAAGATCGCGATCTCGTACATTACGAGAGTCCCCTTATCGGGTATACAAGAGGCGGTGGATGACCAGCTGCGTATTCACGGCTATTTATCGTCCCTCATCTCCTCTCCTCCGTATATAATAACCTAATCGCACGTTGTATCGTTGTTGCCAACTTTTTTTCGCGGCACCATCTCCCCTTCCTCTAGCGTTTGTCACGCTAGAAGATTTCGGGAACTCGAGTGAAAAACTGTTAAACGCTCTTTTTCCCTTTCTTCCCGGATTCCGCGGAACGAATTAACGCTCGGATCTAATCGTTTGGATCGATTAGGCGATGGATGGACTCCTCTCTCTCTTTCTATCTCTTCGTTAGCCTCTCCGGCCGATCGTTGTTGGAAGGTTTTTATCGAATTCTCTTCTGGCAGCCGGTCGAGCGGAAGAAACGTTTCGTCGAACGGTTAACTATCTATTAACGGCGACTTTCTTTCCGCTAAATGGTATCTCTAATCTTTTGCCTACACGCAACGCTGGCAGCAGGATATCNCCTCTTGGTGGCTCGTCGCGGCCAGCGTAGCGGCAAAAATCGCGTAAAATAATCGCGCGTACTCGGCCCAGATCCGGCGCGTCGAATTTATCGATCTGTCGATCTCCGCATAATGAGCTAATCGGATGTTATATTGTTTGCCGGCGGCTCCTCGCAATCCCTCCAAGGCACGTACAGGAAGGGGAAGGTGTAGGCAGAAAGGCTGAGGGAGAAAGAGAGCCGAGGCGAATTAAATCGAGCCGAGAAAGCGAGGGGGAGGGGAAGGGAGGGGGCGCTTAACAGAAAGCAGCAACAGAACGAGCGGAAAGAAGGATCGGAGCTGTCTGAACGGAAAGGGTGAGAAGGAGGGGCGGGCGGGGAGTAGTAGGGTGAAACAATGAGAGGAAGTGAAGGTCCAACGAGTGCGGCTTCTTTCCATTCCCGATTGCCGTGCAACTTAAACCGAAGAGATATCATCCGTCCCTCCATTCTCTCATCAACGTGGCCGTTAGGTGTACGTCCAACCCGAGATATATCTGCCCCTTACACCGCCTATTATCTCGATCGGCTTGACCTAACCTATGCATCGCGATGCTATTCTAAATTACGACCCCCTTCTCCGTCTCTCTCTCTCTCTCTCTCTCTCTTGATTTCTCCATTTCTTCTTCTCCGGATCGAGATTGATTTCCACGATAGAACCACTTTCGCGGATACGGAAGATATCAACCGTGGTTTCAATCCTTGGAAAACGTGCATTTATTTTGATTCGATCAAAGAATAACAAATTCTGTCGTCAAAATTGATTTTTTCCCACCAGCTTTCCCGAATGCAAGATACGCGATTATTGCTCCAACAGCTATCTCGTTACTCGTCGATAAAGGAAAAAGCTGTTGTTAAGCTACGGTATATATATATATATATATTCTTCGAAATTACCCACCGTAGCGGTAATCTCGTTGATAAGCTAAGCGTTGCTAATTCGTATAATTTGGCGGAAGATGTATATGCACACTTTCGTCGAGCTGTTTCTACGCTATACTATTTACATACGCTGTTGGAACACGCATCCTACGGCAATTTGTATCAATTTAATTTCCGATTCCCGACCGATCAATCTTGAAAATCGTGTGTTGGACACCTGCCACCTCGAGAGCCGAATGCAGGTTGCATGTGTGTCTCGTTGACCGAATCACCGCGGAGGAATGCACCGAGGAGGGCCGTCAATTATGACGATGCGAATAATTTTCCAGAAAAGTCATTCTTCGTTCCACGAGACGAATGGTCACGAATCGCGCATCCGGTTTCGGACTGGATGAATCGGTATCCGCGCTTCCAACCTCTTGCGCGCCACTTTTATCCATCGTGCACGTAAAGGGTATAATCAATTTTTCGAAGAAGAAGAAGAAGAAGAAACCTCTCTCGACTTTCCCTCGCCACAATGGGCTCGCGTGAAATCGGCCGAAGGTTTTCGCGGAAAACATATGGACGGGCAATTAGCACACGGATCCGTGCATCCTGTACCATCGTAATAGCCGGCTAAGTTGTCCAGCTCACGCATGCTGCACGACCTATGCGTGCGTGGCCGATCGGCCCCGTGCGTGATGCTCGCGTCCAAGGGTGTCGATCTGCGCGAATACCTACGAATGGAAAAAGTTATCTAAAGCGTGTTTCCATAGAGACAGAGAGAGAGAGAGAGAGAGAGAGAGAAAGAAAGAGAGAGAGCGAAGGAAATTTATCACGGCTCGTCCTTTTTTTCTTATCGAACCGAGGCTGTGTTCGAAGGAAGCATGGGAAATGCGTGCGTTACGTATTGCATCAGACGGATATCACGAGAGGAGGCAGTCGAAACAATTCCCAAGGCAATGCGGAGAGCAACATATGTAAGTAGCGAGCGGGAAACAAAGCGATCGGAGGCGAGTCGGGGCGAATCGAGGCGAGTTGAAGCGACGGTGCGCCGCGCGTAAGTGTGCGTAAACGCTTGTAATAGGCGGGGAGGGGCATATGGCAGCTGGCGTCAGAGTGACAAGATCTAAAATTAGAGTGGTTGTGTTGCGTGTCGATCGTCGCATGCGCTTATCATACGCCCCCTTCCGGCTTCGCCTTATTTTCATAACTTCTTTCAATTCTTCGCTCTGCCTCCTGTCGTGCTTCTCTCTCTCTCTCGTTCATCGTTTTCTCCTCGCCTTGCGCGCTTTCTCTTTCTATCCCTCTCCTCTTAAGTATCATCGTTTTTCTCTCTCTCTTCGTCCAATTCTCTGCTCCGGTTCGTTCTCCTTTCTGGTCTTTTCCGTTCAAGGGGTCTCCGGTTGAAAAAAAAAAAAAAAAAAAGAGAAACCGTGAGAAGGGGATCGATGATCGAAGGAACTCGAGGATAGACCGCGAACTCGTTGATGGAGTATCATTGTTCGCGGCCAAAACCGAAAAATTTCGACGAGTTGAAAAGGACGCGGGCGGCGAAAGATGTTACGAGACGAGCAATTGCGGTGTACTTGTATCGTTCGAAAGTTTGTTTCACGAGAAACCGTTTTTTTTCACGAATCGAATGTGCTCTCGTTCCCTTCGCCAAAATTTGTTACCTCGAACTTGTTACCTTTCCTCCTTTAGGCGAGCACATTAAACAAGCAGCGCTCGATCATTCGAACAATTTAAAAGTTAGTCGACTCTATTCACTATCGCGAGTTACATTTTCTTTCTTCGCTTCGGTTTCGTTACGTACGGGCCACTTATACAAATCGATGAAACATCTGTGGTAAACGAAGCAGTCTCGCTAGGCAGGCAGAAACTGAGCGCGTGCATAGGAGAGAAAACTAATGGCCATGGCGCGCGTATGTCCACCTGTAATTTAACATAAGTACGAGACCGTAGGTCGTTGCAACCGCGGCCGTTTGTGCGCGCCATGTAGATAAGTGCAGGCTGCCTACTTTATGCAACCGCCCACGTCGTTTCGTGTGCCGGGTAAAAAAGTGCCGGAGGATTTAGGAGCGTCACGGCGTGGACGTTGCGAAACCGTTTCCCCCCCTACCGCAAGGACGTGAAAACGCTGTGGAAATTCCTGCTCGTTGTTGCTCGCACAATCCCATTCAGTTGTACTCGCCTCGTACATGCCTCGCACGTAATTTTCCCGATGAAATAGACATTGCGTTACGTTCCTCGATGAATTTTAATCTTTCTATATATATATATATAGAATGATTGTATGTATGTATAGTAAAAATGTATAATAAAATATATTTGACGACCGAACGTTTATCGTAAAAAAAGAGGTAGTTGCTCCGCTTGCAAAACTGTCGTNNNCTTTTTTTGTTTGGGAGGGGGGGAGCCGTTTCTTCGGGCAAGTGCGCAATCCGAGGGCAATTTAGAGATGTCTCGATAGAGGGTAATTGCTATTCCGTGGGAGCCGAAGAAACGGTGAAATTATAGGCCGTGTCTAGCGCGATTCGGTTCGAGCGTGTGTATCGCCGGTGACTGTATATCTTCACGCGTCGATGAGATCCGACGCTAACGACTTGGCCGCGGAAGAAAAACTTTCTGACCTGTAGACGAAACACGAGGATCGACCGAGCGAAATGGAACAGACGCACTCCGTCTCCACCTATTATCCTTTTATCGGCAGATCCGCGGGTTAATTAAGGATGCACTCATTCCGCGTTGGCGGAAGCTCTCTTCCCACTTTCGAAAGGAGCGTAAACAAGAGTAGAAGTTGTTTATCGCGACTCGATCGCGTGCCACCACGCTCCGTATCCGTTTTATATTCGATTGCTACCGGCTCTCTTGTCTCATTGTTTCGTTTTTGCTTTCCGCGTTTAAGGGCGGAAGAAAGAGAAGGGGGGAGGAAGAAAGAGTGGAGGAGAAGGCGATCGTTTTTTTATCGAGGAGATCGTAGTCGCGAAGACAAACGTCGAAGACAACGGTCGCCTCTGTCCCCGTTTTCACGTTATGCAGAAAGTTGGTCCGGTGTGCGCGAGCCTTCGACGTCTCGTTTCCTGGCGGGTGCAGCTGCCGTGAAATCGCGGATCACGGCCGCGGTGTGAAATCGCGGCTGTCCTCCGTCCTCCAACCTGCTCTCGTTTCATGCGAATTTCAGCCGGTGTTCACTTCGATCCGTGATCCACGTGCCTCCTTTTTTTTTTTTTTTTTCTTTTTTTTTTATGCATGCGCCGATTTCTTTTCTCGCCTCAGCTTTCTCGAATCGGATATAAAAGAAGCCACCTGATCTTGAACAAAGGAAATGAATATCGGTTTTATTTGCTTCCCACGTGTTCGAGCGTGTTTTTTTTTCTTTTTTTCCTTTGTCGTAAGATTTATCGAGTAATCAATCATGTAGACACGTACTCATATTTCAAGGAGTCGTGCTCCTTTGTTTAGTTTTTCAATTTTTACGTATACCGTTCATCGATGCATTTCTTTTAATATCTTTTATCTCTACAACAACAATGAGTATCATTGAAATTCGCAGCAATTTTTCATTTCAAAACGCAAATGTATCGTCTAATTATAGATATTATTGAAATTTTTAATTCACTTACATATTCACGTACCATTTCAAACAAATTGACACATTTACTGTGAGTAATGAAATTCTTATTCTTACATGATATTCTCGTGTATGTTCGTTATAGAGATTTCAAATCAATAAATCTGAAAAAAAAAAAAAAGTAAAGAAAAAGATACGGGTAACAAAACGAGTCGAACAAGATTTATTTACGATACCGTACCGTAAGCGAGAACATATGAAGCGGGGAATCGTGTGTCCTTTTTGCGGACGGCGCAATCTCTCTGAGAATAAGCGGGGATCGCTTACGCCGAGGAATGCGAGGCAAGCAGTGCAAAAGGGCGGTACATCTGCGCCGGCCAGCGAAAAGACGAGCGCGTGTATTTAGCGGTGTGCAGGTTGGTCGTGCACCGGGTTAAAAGGAGGGTGCATATCGCGAGATAGGATCGGCCGCGGTAGCCGCGTACGACCGGCTGGCCGAGATAAACATCGAGCCAAACGAACCTGGCCAACCCCTTTCGGCTGACTTTTCAACCACCTTGCAACGATTCGTATATCGCGGCTGATCTACCTCTCCCTCGCATTTCGGCCCACTTTATATTGTATACACACTATGTATGCGAACAGGGTCCAACGATATATCGCCATCTGTGGCTCATTAGCTTAAGCGGTACAAAGCGAGTAACGTGGTCTCTCGCCTTGCTTCGCTGCGCCTTACCACGTGGGCTCTCGAGAGTTCGCTCGAGACCGCTCCTCGCCTCGCCTCGCCTCGCCTATCACCGACCGCTTAACGGCCATTATACGGATTATTACCTTACTTCTCGAGTGGAAAACCGCCAACTGACGCCGTCTTGAATCCCAAAACGAACGAGGAAGACATTTTTCTATAATATTTCGACTTCTAGTTGATCATTCTCCGTTAAGCGTTTTGTGGTTAAGGTATTGTCTTGTATTCTTTCCCTTGGATGAATCGATTTGTCTTTCTTGTTTTTCTTCTCCTGCCTATCGTATAAAAATGCAGTTGAATGTGATATCGAAGATGGACACACTTTTTAAGATTTAGTTTTTAATTTTACTGCTCGTATATAATTGTTATAATCGATACCATTATAGTAATACCATTTCCAATCGAACGAGGTTATGACGTTATCGAATAATTACACGAGTATATTTTAATTCGCATTGGTATTTACTAGTCGGATTGGAATCAAATATCGAAGCATTGACGCAAATGATAATTATATGATACGTGTACGAGAAATAACAAAAATTCCAATATCCTGGTAACTTGATGACTATGTACTTATATATATATATATATATATATAATGCGTGCGTGAACGAGATGCGCTGTTTCACGAAACTTATTAGCGATGCGCGCGCATCTTAATTAGTTTCGGAATCCTGTGACGCGACACCTGTTTCTGTGAAAATTCGTGTGATTATTTGTTGTCCTTTGAAAATTCTGGAAATCTTTCGAATGTGACTAACCGTTCCAGTTACTTACGGAGCACAAAAGGAAATGTCTGAAGATTGAATAAACACGGTAAGATTTTTTACGAAAATGTTTCTTTACTAAGCTTGCTTACGACGAAGTGACGCTTACCATGAAACATGGTGACAAGCGTTTAAATTACTTGTTGTGACTACAAACGTTTGAGAACGTTTCAGATCGTTCAGAATATTTCTTCAAAATATATTTCTAATTCTTTTTAAGTTTTTATCTTTGAATAATCATAATTAGAAAAATTCGATAGTAATTTTTTTCACTTGAAATACGCGTAATTTTGAATAACGATTTCCTTTTCTCCTAGGTAGCGTTGTCATTCGTGAGAGGACGAGTCCATTCGAGAAGCAGAGACGCGAGTATAGTGATAATTTTTTTGAAATCAGTGGAAATTATATGTGTCAGTTTAAAATACGTAAAGAGAACGATTTCGAACGACGATTGGAGTGCACGGCCGCCACCCACGCTGGTAAGAACACGAACAGGTAGGTAATACATGGTATACAGTGGCACAACAATAGTAGCGTCGTTGTCACAATGACAAGGGAACCGGTATTGAAAGGCAAATGAGAGGCAGCGTTGCTCTTCCTCGCCTTTTAGTTCATCTCCTTTCTGTCGCGCACCCACATCCGTTGCTTTTCAAGTAGCACCCCAAAACACCTTACGCAAATTAATGTCGCATGCTAACAGAGTCTCGGTTCGAATGACCGGGACAACGAAGTGCCTAAGGACAGTTGGCTCGTCATCGTCTTTAATAATGATTCATCGCCATACGGCGCGACTAATTGTTTACCGGTCGTTCACAAGCAGCTTCTTCGCCGTGAATGTTTCTTCTGTTGTCGATACGGCTATGCATATGTATTTTCATGTGGCTTTCTCTTTTGTTTTCATTCTCTTCGACTGCTATTTCATGGCTCGTTTTTTTGTTCCATTCGATTCCCTGGTTTCCTGTTTGCCATTTATTTTCTTTCTGGTTATAATATCTTTTATTTTCTGGTCTGATTCTTAATGTTATAGCAATACTGTAATATTGCATATTCTAAATTAGATTTTAAATAATTATAAGATAAAACACACTCAACTTTTATTTTTATGTTAATTTTTGCAGTAAACATTAATGTTTTTTTTTAAATATCTCTTTTTCTTATTACGTAGCATTCCTATTATAAATTCTGTACAGAGTAACTGCATTGCCAGCACTAGTATTGTCTCGCCATCTATCGTTAAATACAAGATTTACTTTTATTTGTTACATTTATCCAAGCACTTTATAAATAGTTTGTATTAATATTTTTGCATATTTGTAGAATAATATCATATACGTTTTATACTTAAACAATTTTTTAATGTATTTGACTTTATTTATTTTTTGATATGCGATTTTTATCATATATAGGAACCTACATTTTTTTTATCTCTTGATAGAATTTATCCACTGTAGTTACATTGATTATTCTAAATTGACCACTGTTGATCAATTCAATTTATGATTCCTCGTAAAATAATATTTCGAATATTGTAACACAATTATTAATAAAAAGTTAATATATCATAAAACCGTAAATTACAAATTATTGATTGCTGCTATAAATCCATTTATAATTATTTTTCGCAATTGATAAATAATAAAAATAATAAAATAGCAATTAGAATATTTAAACAGCTATAAGTCGAAAATTAATAATATATCATAGTAATCAATAGAATATCATTTAAATTTAATTTTATTTTATAAAAATAAAGTGTTTACTTTCTAATAATTTTTTGAATCCTTCGATGGATAATGTAAAATTAGAATCAGTGTTTATTTGTCGATTGTAACGATCGTGTTAATAATTTTTTTTTATATTCGTTTCATTACATAATACAGTCAATTTCTCTCAAAAAAGGATAAGATAATCATCCATCATATGAAGAAATAATTATCTTTTCTTATTTTTTTAAAATTTTTATTCTTTTAATACAGAATCATTAGATTTTTAAATTTCAAATCTTTATATTAAAATTTTAATTTTTATTGTTATTATATTATACTATTATATTAGTAGAGTTTCATTTTTTCTTATTTTAATTTTTCCAAACAATTTGAACTTTATTTTAAATTGTGTTATTTTGCTTTTTATTACAGATGTTTTACGACTTCTATGATCCTCTTATATGATGATGATCTTTATACTGACTTCTTAAAGCCATAGCAGCATCAATGGTCAATAATCTTCGCATCTAATGGTGAGTTGCATGCATCTTTGCTACTTCAATCATTTAATCATGTCGTCGGACGAAAAGTCCAAATCGACATGATTGATATATGTAGATTTTTACATATATAGCATAGTGACACAGATATTTATTTTTGTTATAAATAAATTTAACTTTTACTTTGCCTAATAGATATTAAAATTTTATTTCATTAAATTAGCAAAATAGACTCATTAAATAGAGTTTGAAATAAAATTAAATGATAAATCAAAGAATATAATCTGTTAAAGAAAAAAGTAGATATTATTTTAAATATTTTTTTAATAAAAATCTCAGGATTTTTTTCTCTTTTATATGCTCGGATGCTGAAATTGTTTTGAAATTGTTATGAGATTTTTCCAATATTTAATATTTATCTTACATTTTTTTTTAATATTTTTAATTTTTAAAATTTAAATAATTTTACTGGATATTATTAATTTGATTACTAATTATATTAAATTTTTGATTTATGTTTCCCTTTTTTTCATTTTTAAGTTCTTATTTTATTTTTTTCTTACGTTTTAAACTGTTCTTATCACTTTATCTTTTAAATTAATTTTTTTTCTTCACTTCCTTGTACTTTTTATCGTATTTTTCATAGGCAGGACGCATTGGTTAGATCTGATAATTAGCATCGTTTTTCTTTTTTTGAAATTTTTTTTTTAAAAATTCATCTTATCAAAATAATTTAGATAACATTAAAAGTATCTCGTTAATAATCATTTCTGAAAAACAATACCAAGCTAAGAACTACGCACAGTTCAATTTAAATCTTTCACGATTTCTTTTGATTATTCGTTTCACTTATTGTTAAACTGGATTGGTATCATATTATGTTATTCACTTATTGTTCGGACTGCAAGTGCCATATTACGCGTATGCTCTCATCGTTCGACATTATTATGGGATTATTATCGTAGGACAATGCATCGTGGGATGCACGCGCAATTAAATAAGAAAATAGATTAATTATTCATCAGAGACATACTTAAAACTCGAGAGCAATGTTACATCTAGATAACTTTTATTAACCAATATAATCGTATATTGTTACAAATGACGGCGACACGATGATCGTGCCGCCTCAACGGATTACAATGAGAAACGGCGTGTCAACGTTATACAATCAAAATGGGAATTGATGAATGAGCGAATTTTTACGAATGTTTACGGTGGTATTCGTCGCTACTCGACTTCAAGAAACTGCATACACGACAACATGTAATTTGTAGAAGTATTTTTTTTTTTTTTTTTTTTTTCTTTATCCTTTGTGTCTTGCGTGTTGAAACATTACTTCTAATCCCATTGTCCGCGTGAAATCTTCCATTTGCCACCTCCCTCCCTATTATCGTATCTATCTGATAGAGTGATGAGTATGTCGGTTGTGCGCGCGTATTGTGTATGTGTACAAACTGTAATTATGCTCGAAGACATCGAAAACTCACTACGTAATGTTAAATGACGAGGTGTCGCGGATTTGCCTTTGCATCGAGTTCCTCGCGGTTTTCTTTCTTTCCTTTCTCTCTCTCTTTCTCTCTCTTTCTCCGTCTCCCTTCGTCGTCCTTACTCGAAATAATTAAACAGAAGAAGTGACTTCTTCGCTCTAATTATACTCTCAAGGAATTCCATGCAATTCCACATTCTCTCGAATCGAGGATTCTCTCGATCGAAATTGAATCGATTTTTCTCGGCAAATCCGCGACTCATTGATTAGGCTTACGGCTACTATCGAGATACTGATGTACATACACAAGAACCATGATCCTCCTGTTCTCTAGAACACGGGCAGAGTATACAAAGACGTTGTTTGCCGAATAAAAACGTGTCGCACGTGCACCGTTGCTCTCAATCACTCGCGCATACGTATTTTCCTCACTCACTCCGATACACGCATTCTCGATAAACGTTGGAAGGGTATTGGCTTCGTATATGTATTTATATTATATTTTCGCTTGTTCTCCATTTCTGCTCGAAAATCCCCGTTTTATTATTATTATTATTATTATTATTATTATTATTATTTATTATTATTATTATTATTTTCTTTTTTTGGTTCCATCTATTCGCGTTCCATGCTTCGTCCTTCTCTTCGCGTATTCCTCTTCGTGCCTTCTTGCTCTCTCTTCTTCCCTCCCACCTATTCTTCCCTATCATCACTTTCTCGACTTTTTTGTTGGTCCTGTGTGTGGCAGTGCCTTGTTAACTATGATTTTTTTTTCTTTTTTTCTTTATGCAAACGTTCTAGCGAATACTTGTTATATTGTCCTTGTTCCTATGGACTCGCATCCCCTTTCTTTCTCTTCCCGATCTTTCGATACACGCTGTGATTCTCGCGCAGAGCGTTGGT